GTTTCCTGCACGCTTAGCATTTGCTATGAATTTAATAAATCCGAAGGACAAAACCTTCGTATATGCGGACAAAAGTTGGCAGAAGAATACAGATACAGAAGAATATGTGATAATTTTTGGAAAATTTTGAAATATGCGTGCAATACCGAAGTTTACCACTTTATGTTATATTGGGGTGTACAAAATCTGGATTAAAATTATTAATGGTTATTCATTAATAATTTCCACTTATCGTTTGTTTTATCGTAATAATTGACCATTACAATTTTACCTTTTTGTTTGGGATATATCAGAAAGAGTCCACAGATTTCTATCTTCTTCACACCAGATCATCTATCAGCTTCATACCAAATCCTACAGGGTGAGATGAAAAAACTGCATCCAACTTCATTCCTAAGCCACTCGTCCGTCAGCTGTTAATATTATTCCAGTGACAGCTCATTATATTTTTGACAAGCGTACAAAAGCATTTTGGTGAGAATTTTCCTGAAACAGTTTTATTCGTGATGGAATTCAAGCGTGATAGTGTGATTTCTTTATATTTGGCTGGAAAACCACAAGTGACTATCGTTAGAGCACTCCAGCATTTAAATGTGAATAATTTTTTTGTGTCTCGTACCATCGCTCGTTACCGTGATAGTGGTAGCGTAGTCCGACGTCAAGGAAGTAGACGGAAGAAAACAGCAACATCAGCAAAAATGGTTCAAAAAGTAAAGAAGCGACTTGATCGAAACCCGCATCGCAGTGGCCAAAAAATGACTCGTGTGCTGAATATATCACAATATTCCATTCGGCAGATATAGAAAAATTAGCTCCGGGTAAAGTCATTGAAATTCAGAAAAGAGCAAGAACTTAGAACGTAACAGAAAGAAAATAAAATCAAAAGAGCTAAACAGTTGCTTCGCTTGGCTGAAAGTGGTGAACTGCCGAATTTGGTTTTCTCCGATGAGAAAAAAATTCGTTGTTCAGCAGTTTGTAAACAAACAAAATGATCATGTTTACTTGCCAAGGAGGTCAGCTGAAAATGTGCACCTTCGGTTGGCCACCAGAACTCAAGCGCCGGCCATGGTGATGGTGTGGGCTGCCATAAAAGCCGATGGTCGCTCTCCACTCCTATTAAGCGACCGTGGCATTAGAATAAATGCCGAATGTTATCGCGAAAATATTCTGGAGGGTGCAATAAAGCCTTGGGCATGCAAACATTTTGGTCGCAGACCTTGGACATTCCAATAGGACTCAGCACCATCGCACTCAGCACGCGCCACCCAAGAATGGTCACAAAATAAGGTTCCTTGCTTCATTTCCAGCGCACAATGGTTCACCAAAATCTCCGGATACCAATCCGTTGGACTTTTGTATCTGGATTATTTTGGAAAGCAAGTTTGGCACTAAAAAATACCAAAGTGCCGATCACCTCAATAAAATTTGAAAGAAAATGTAAAAACCATGGCGTTTTTTTATCTCACCCTGTATAAGTATTGAAAATTGTGATACATTGTGGTGGATTTGCTAAAAGGAATGGACCGATATCTATCATCTTCACACCAGATCTTGCGTTAATAAAAACAATGGGATATGTCAAATGTCAAGAAAATCGGATGCTTACCCCACATTTTATGGGCGTTTTGTTATTAAAAAAATTTTGACCCATTAATGGGCGAGGTGCCAGAAGCAGTTCAACGATATATTCCATATTTACACCAGATTTTGTGTTGGAACGCTTATTCAGAAATAGTACGCCTATATATCACATCAGATCTAGTGTTATCAATAACGTTGTGACATGTATCTGATGCTTATTTCAGAAATTTTATGACAGTTCCATCAGATCTTATGTTAGATAAAATTGGAATGTATGAAATTTGAATTTGGTAATTTCCCTTTAAATTGTAGGCACATTTCCTGATATAAACTCTTGATATTTAGCGGGATTGTAGTCAAACTGCAATACTGCTATTGCTTAGGATTGCGGGTTTAAAAAAACCTTTTGGTCCATTTAACCAGGTGTATTCTTTGTCCTAAAATTTTATTTATTTGAAATTTTGCGGTTTGAAATACTTGGTGAGATAGGTAAAAATATGGTAATACCCATCTGAAGCAATAAATTCGGGTGTGTGTACCCATATTAACGCGGCCCCATTTTAACAATTTTTTGGTTGCATTATTATTTATTAATTATGAAGAATCTCTAAAATAATCACATGCATTAATGTAGAGAAACATTTCTGTCACACCTTCCAATAAGTGTGGGACCACGGTGCAGCGCTTTCAAAAATTAGTTGGAAACAGCGAATGAAAATGTTTGTTAACCCACTAAATTATAATTCTCCGTTGTGAAGACGTATATCTATAATTATCAGGTGTTTCTATTTTTGCATGCAAATTGAAATATGAGATACATCGATCATATATAGGTTCTGGCTTTGTTAAGGTAAAGTTTGAAAGTTTCCGACATAGTCGGATATCAGTAACATTTGAGAGATCAATTTATCACAACATTTGTTGAAAAATATTAATATAGATCCACTTTTTGATATAGCCCCATACAACGGCACCGCTTTACTTAGGCATTCTTATGGTTCCATAGCCGAACTGACTATTATTTAGCATCTCGAGTACTTATTAACAAAAAATGTCCCCCATGAATATTAGAGGAATTGTAATCTACTATTATTAACAATACAAATATTTCAGTTGGTTCTTCAAATGTTTGTATCTTCCAGACTCTTCGATATGGGGCATTGCATGCTGCCCATATTTCTATCAGTTGAAACATTGTATTCATAGGTTACATACATCTGCACATAGATATGTAACACATTAATTGTAAAAACTTTTTTGGCATGATATTGGCTAGTCGGTGCCAACAATGCGGTCTGCAATGCAATGCAATTTAATATCTCAATGCAAAATTATGAAATAACAACAACTACGACAACTGCAGCAACAAATTAAACGAGGTGAATATTTTCTGAAATTGGTTCAAAATCATAAAAGAAATATGCTTTGTTTCCAGATCCAGTGGCACTCATGTGTAATAACAGAAATTGAGGTGGGGCTTTTTAATGCAACTTCATTGCATTGTATCTATAAAATACACATTTGTTCGCTTTGCCGCTCCAACTGACAAGGGTTGTTGTCCGTCATCTGTCCATGCATGCAATTTTTGCAATGTGAAAATTGTGAATAATATGTGCCATAGAATTGGGAACCATAAAAGTTTTCGATTATCGTAAAAAGGGAAGTTGAATATGTATGTATAAAATCTTTTGGAACGGCGAAGCGAAGACTTCTGTGGGGTAACGTGTCGTCGCATGCTCTGGGCTGTAAGTTTCTGTTGTTATTGTTCTGATAGTTCGGCTGAAATCGAAGGGTCTTAATTGTAGAAATAAAACTTCGGTTAATACAGTTTTTATTGCGCTGATAGTCTCTGGTCGAGTGGAATTCGCTCACTACTAATGTTTGATCAAAGCAACCATCTCTCAAACCAATTGAAGAAATAATCAAGTATTTATTTTTAATTTTCAAATTGTCCGTTCAATTCTAATTATTCACACTTCCATGCCTGACTTACTAAACCAAATATAATCTCCGCATTAGCTCCAACATGCACGCGTGCTCAAAAGTTCTTTCACCTCAAAGATTAACGCGGTCTCTTGGTGGGATATCGAAATTAATCATGCTTGAATGGTCCAAACAAAGGCTAATTGAATTTTGGCTACAAATAGAATCGTGTGGATTAAATTACAATATTTAGAAAAAAAATAAGAACTGAAAAGACAAGAACAAATGCTAAGCTGCATCGTGTTAGCTTAATGGTATTTTTAGGCGTAAAAGAAATTCTTTTGTCCATAACCTTGCGATGGTCATGGTATTGGTGTGGATTTTTTAATATTATTGTGACGTTTCGTCCACAAAATTGTGCGGGATTACTATTCTATAAATTTCAAGGAATTTTGGAGAGTATATTTGCAATACATTCTTGTAATATATTCCAATACTAAATTAATTCTTAAAATGTTACCAACTAGTTTTTCTGGAAAACCCAGTTGTTCTTCAAAAGCATATTAATTAATCTATTACAAATTAAACCATTAATTTGTCTTCTAGACATGATTGTAGTAATTATCGTTAACAATTCTAGGCATATACAAATTTGAAATAGCTCTACTATGAATGTGCAAAGTTATTATTGAAAAAATATACCACCTAATGATTAATGGAAACTACCTTCATATTTGCATGCCAATTTTGATATTGATAAATTTAAAATAGTTTAATGATTAATTAAGATTTCATTTGGGGTAGTAGAATGTTCTTGATTTTTTGTTGAGTACTGCAAATACTACAAAAAAAACAGTAAAGAAAGTCCTAAATTCGGGCGGGGCCGAATTTCTAAGCTGTATTTGATATATTTCCCTGAATACCGTTGTTACGGAGTGCATATTACGGCTGTGGGTAACAAATATAACTAATCGGATAAAAAATATATATGGGAGCTATAGCTATATCTGAAACGATCTTCACCAAATTTGTCATACTAGCTTCTAGACTCAATTCGGTCGTAAGTGCCAAATTTCATCCCATTTGGGCAAATATTAGACGTTTGGTGCACAATCAAAGGTAAATCGGTCGATGTTATATATGGGAGCTATATCCAAATCTGAACCGATCTCGATAAAATTTAGCAAATGTATTTCTGAGCTGTATTTGATATATTTTCCCAAATATTGTTGTTACAGGGTGCATATCACGGCTGCGGAGGACAAAAATAGCAACTCGGATGAACAATATATATGGGAGCCATAGCTATATCTGAACCGATTTCGATCAAATTTGGCATACTTATTTTCATGCCTAATTTGGTTGTATGTGCAAAATTCCATACTATTCGGCTGATATTACACGTTTAGTGCACAATAAAAGGCAAATCGGACAATTTTAATAGGGTTTGTCCTTGGGCCAGAGAAATGTATTGTGCAAAATTTCATCTGTATACAATACAGCTTGAGAACAATATTATAAAAATATAATTTTTCAACAATGCTTGAGAAACACTTATGTTCCACAAACATTTCTCAAGTCTGTCCCTTGTTGACAAATTAGTTTTGATTTTTTGTGAAAATTGTCAGCAAGAAATTATTTTCTTTGGCAAAAAACAAAATCAGGCGAATTTAGGACCCATTTGTGGACCGAACCCTTAAGGTATGGATGAATAATAAATCCGGGAATCTTTCACATAAATTATTCCAATCCCATTTCAGATTGGAAGCATCAAAAAAGTTGCAGGAATTCAATAAATGTGTAGTCTTAGTGGAAGAGATGCAGAAGTTCAAATAAGGGAGAAGAAAGCGTCAGGGTATCAAGGCCACATGCGGCAGTGACTACTGGGATGTCCATCAAGAAAAAACGTTAAAAATGATTAAAAACTAAAAAAAATAATATTTTATACTATTACAAAAATAAGCTTATTATAATATTATTTTTGTAAGCTTATTCTACAATTTCAAGTATAAGCTTATAAATAAAGGTTCCGTTTCGATTATTCTATACTTGTTATACAAACATTTTTCAATGTTTTCTCAAGATTTTCTCAAGCTTAAGCCTTATGTTCATAAGCTTATTGTAATATTATTCTCAAGCCATTTTGGTATGTTGGGAAAGACTTTCTTTACTGATTTCTAAGTGTGCCCGAGTTCTGCCAATTTTGTGTATGTATTCATTGTTTTGAAAAATAAAAATAAAATATTTTTAAAATAAATTATTGGAAGAAACATAATTTGCGGCGCGCTTTTATGATATTAACCAGATTCGCCTCGGAATTGAGAGATTGAACTCTTAGGGTCATATTTTTGAGAGAACTTCCTTTCATTCATCTTTCGCCCTATTTGACGCATTTTAAAAATGAACAAAAAGTATAAAATGATTGAAAACAATGTGTCGGATATAATTTTGAATAATTCCAGCAGGAAGCGGGCATAGCCTCAGGACTGTATTTCTGTAGTTTTACGAAGCTGTCCTATCTCCTTATTGTACCATGGAGTAAAACGACTAGACAAATCTATGCATGCAAAGGAGAACAAAGTTAGATTCAGCATTCAATATTCCACTGCTAATAATTAACAAATTTAAATTGTTATCAAATCGTAAAAAGGACTCATGGCTCATGGCATAGCCAAAGTGGGCAACTTATTCTAAAGATCTCTATTAAATGTTGCGAAATATAGCTGAAAATATTGGGTCATCTTTGTATAAGGTTAAGGGTATTAAGGCTCTAAAAATTTTTGCTTTAAAACCCAAAGCCTTTGGAGTTTTTGACCTACAAACCGAGTTCAATTTTATAATGAAAGGTCAAAAGTCGGGCAGGGCCTACTATATGATACCATACACCATTATGCGTAATTAGTAGAACTCCCGAAACAAAAAAAAATAAAAACAAGTTAAAAAGCTGTAAGTTTGGCCAAGTCGAACCTTGAATACCATCCAACATTTGGAAAAAAATTAGTCATTTTCTAAAAATAAAAACCGTTAAAAATACGACGACGTGGACCTGCATAGGCAACTTTTATCATAATATTCAAATGCGAAAATTTAATAAAAAAAAATCGGTAAATAATGTAGCTTAAATCATCAAAATACCAAATTTGAAACAATTCCGGTGAATAATGTCCCTAAAATCATCAAAATATGGCGGCTATACCAAAACGTGGATCGTTGTATCTCATTTTCTATTCCAACCCTCCTAGACATAATACAAATTGGTCTGTCAAATTTTGAAGCGCTACGTCAAATAGTGTGGCCTGTATCTTGATTTCAACAGACAGATGCACATTGTTAAATCGACTTAGAATTTTATGCTGATTATGAATATATATACGACGTATATTTATGGATGTTGCAAACGGAATGACAAAGTTAATATACCGTCCTTTTTAAGGTGGAGGGTATAATAATTGGCAGAGGTATTTTCGAGCCGTATCTGATGTCCGGTATCAAATATCATTGTTGTGGAATGTATATTACGCATGTGAGGGAAGCCCTTAAGCCCTTTAGACAAAATTTCTGATACGGACCTTGGGACCTACAAAATCTTCGGAATCTTATACATAAACATATAAACAAAATTTGGAATCCAAAATCGATGAACTTACAAAGAAGATTGAAGCAAAAGACCAAAGGTCGATCAGGTAGTGAAAAGAAAGGTGTGTGTTGTTATCATTACATTTGTGAAGAACGAGCAAAGAAATGTGTGCAACCTTGTTCGATATCAACATATCATATACCGGACATATCATATGTATGTTAGTGACGGACATGAACTGCCAAGAGAGTATCGAGTATCAAGGTAACTAATTTATATTCTGATATCCTACTCCGAAGAGATTTTCACTAAGTTTGACGGATTCAGTTTTGTCTGATTTACAGCTCATATTTGAGCTGGTATCACACTTTTGGTGCACAATAGAAATCTAATCAGATGAAGATATGTATGGAAGCTATATGCAAATCTGAACCGATCTCCAAATTTAAATAAAATTTAGCTGAGGTATTTTTATGCTGTATTTGATAGTTGGCACCAAATATCGTTGTTGTGGAGTCTATATTACGGGTGTGAGAGACTTACTTACAAACAAATGAACAAAGATAATAATTCGCTGACAGTGTGGTTTTGGGTATATACATTAGTAAGTCATTCTGCGATTTTAACTTTCAAAACGCTGAAACATGTGTCTCTTTTGTATAGCTCTACTTTCGTAATCTACCGTGCTTTTTTGTAACTCCTCGAAATACTCATGTTAGACCAAACAAAAATGCTAGGTCGATTTAGCGATATCCGTCTTTCTGTCCGCCTGTTGTAGTCGCGCTATCTTTCAAACGAATTGAGATAGAAGGCTAAAAATTGGCATTGATGTGTATTCTGTAGGTTTTCGTATAGCCCCCATATAACTGTTCCTCCCAATATGCGATATTTTGATGACTTTAGCGACATTATTTCAAATCTCGTATTTAAAAATTTTAACACAAAATTTGAAGGCAAAAATTGCATATGCAGGTCCACGTATTCGTATAGCTTTACGTACTGTGCTTTTGGACGGAGTTTTTTTTAAGTTTTTCAAGTTCCTTCCAAATGGTGGAGTTCTGCCAACCTGAGCATAGCTGTTTTTCTTTTTATACCCTACACCACAAGGTGGTCAGGGTATTATGTCTTTGTGCATTTGTTTGTAACAGGCAGAAGGAAACGAGATAGACCCATAGTTCCTTTTGATGATCTGCATAGAATCACATTCTGAGTCGATTTATGCATGTCCGTCCGTCCGTCTGTCCGTCCGTCTGTCCATGTATTTTTGTAAACAAAGTACAGGTCGCATTTATTGCCCGATCCAGATGAAATTTTGCAAAGGTCTTTTGTTTGGCCTAAGGACGAACCCTATTGAAATTGCAGATAATCGGTCAAAATTTGGATATAGCTCCCATATATATCTTCGTCCGATTTGACTTTTATTGTGCACCAATAGTGTAATATCAGCCCGAATTGTATGGAATTTTGCACATACAACCAAATTAGGCCTGAAAATAAGTATGCCAAATTTTATCGAAATGGGTTCAGATATAGCTATAGCTCCCATATATATTGTTCATCCGATTTGTTATTTTTGTCCACCGCCACCGTAATATGCACTATGCAACAACAATATTTGGGGAAATATATCAAATACAGCTCAGAAATACATTGCTAAATTTTATCGAGATCGGTTCAGATTTGGATATAGCTCCCATATATAACATCGTATGATTTACCTTTTATTGTGCACCAAACGTCTAATATTTGTCCAAATGGGATGGAATTTGGCACTTACGACCGAATTGAGTCTAGTAGCTAGTATGTCAAATTTGGTTCAGATCGGTTCAGATATAGTTATAGCTTCCATATATATTATTCATCCGATTTGTTATATTTGGTACCCACAACCGTAATATGCACTCTGTAACAACGATATTCAGGGAAATATATCAAATACAGCTCAGAAATATCGTTGCCAAAGTTTATCGAGATCGGTTCAGATTTGGATATAACTCCCATATATATCTTTATCCGATTTCAAATTAATTGTGCACCAAATGGGCAATACAATTCCGAATTTAGTCCTTTGAACTTTAAATTATAATTATAATCATAGCGTGTATGATTGAATTCTCCCATAGAAACTTTTAATTGTTATGTGGAGCTCTACTTAATTAGCAAAGTGGTGTAGGGTATCATAAAGTCGGCGCCGCCCGACTTTAAGACTTTCTTTACTGGTTATTATTATTTTTAATATTCTTGTTATGATTATGATTATTATTACTATTATATTATTATATTATTATTATTATTATTATTATTATTATTATTATTATTATTATTATTATTATTATTATTATTATTATTATTATTATATTATTATTATATTATTATTATTATTATTATTATTATTATATTATTATTATTATTATTATTATTATTATTATTATATATTATTATTATTATATTATTATTATTATTATTATTATTATATTATTATTATTATTATTATTATATTATTATTATTATTATTATTATTATTATTATTATATTATTATTATTATTATTATTATTATTATTATTATTATTATTATTATTATTATTATTATTATTATTATTATTATTATTATATTATTATTATTATTATTATTATTATTATTATTTATTATTATTTATTATTATTATTATTATTATTATTATTATTATTATTTATTATTATTATTTATTATTATTATTATTTATTATTATTATTATTATTATTATTATTATTATTATTAGTATTATTATTATTATTATTTTTATTATTATTATTATTATATTATATTATTATTATTTATTATATTATTATTTATTATTATTATATTATTATTATTATTATTATTATTATTATTATTATTATTATTATATTATTATATTATTATTATTATTATTATTATTATTATTATATTATTATATTATTATTATTATTATTATTATATTTAGTCTTTATAATAATAATAGTCTTTACTTCCCTGTGGGATAAAAGTCCAGGACGAGAGAATGCACATTGGGACTAGAATTTTCTTCTAATTTGGTATGTCACATAATTTGAACTGTACCCTCTTTGCCTTCACAATTTTTAACTATCAGCAACAAAGCAAAATGTTTCATTTGAATAAACGCCTTGAACTTCCGTTTTAAATTTTTGCAAAATATGCCCATAAGCTGCACACAAGTGCAATTTTTTATGGTTTAATATTCGAATAACAAACCATAATTATGAGCAACATTTTTCAAAATACTTTAACGGCATATCCGTTGAAGGCATGCGTATGAACACTAAGGTGGATTGAAGTTGTAAGCTATGAAAATGTCCCCATTAGAACATGCATTTTAAAAGCAATTTTGTAACGTATAGCCAGCAAAATGTAATCCACATACTACCATTAGCTAGAAAGTTAAAAATCACTTAACAAATCCGTATTCTTACCTTACAAGCACCA